CGCGGGGCGGTACCGGGGGCGGTACCGGCCCGGGAAGCGCCCGGAACCGGGAGTCCCCGCTTGGGGCCTTTATCTCCTCTGTGCTGCCCGCTCGACGCAGCGAAGTGAGCAATGAAATGGGCAGGGTCGTGTGGGACAGCGCAGCCCGTGCGCGTCAGGGGAGGGCGGGTTTTGGCCTTGCCTTGAGGGCAAGGCCTGGGTGGGATCGTCCTAATTGGGTTTGGGCCTTCCTCTCCATCTGGAAAACGGCGATATGGTCTCTCTTTCCCATGTTTGAAACCCCGTTGCAACAACAGGCTCAGTATTAGAGTGCTTAACCCAACGTGGTTAACTGGCACGCTTCCACATGGAGCCTGTTAAACCTCATGGAATCATTAAAGTTGGAAGGGACTTCAAAGATCATCAGGCTCCAACCCCCCTGCCATGAGCAGGGAACCACTAGATCAGGTTGCACAACACCTCATCCACCCTGGCCTTAAAAGCCTCCAGGGATGGGGCATCATCAACCTCCCTGGGCAACCCATTCCAGTTCCTCACCTTATAGGGAATAATTTCTTCCTAATATCTAGCCTAAATCTCCCCTCTCTGTTTAAAACCCCTTGTCCTGTCACTATCTTCTGATATCTCAATGGAAAAGTTTCCCTTGTGTCCTCCAACTTCCATGAAGTCACATAACCACAGAGCCCTTCAAAGCAAGGCATCTGTTCTCTTCTCCTAAAATTTATGGTCTACAAAATATAGGACCTTAGATTACAAAAAAAAAAACCCAACTAATCAATGCCCTCCCTGCCTAAAACAGGACAGGAATAGAACAAAGCAAAAAGGCTCAGATAAAATTACAAAACATCTCCATTTTATTAAGAATAACTTACATACAAATAAATTATCTTTAAAAATACTATAATACATTTTTATATTAAGTTTAAACTTAATGTCTCAGACGTCACATTGGCCTTTCCTGCAGTCAGCAGTCTGATCCTGCTCTTCAGTCTTGTTCCAGTTCATCTTCATCCTCTTCGCTATCTGAGTCTTCATAAAAGGAAATGGTAGCTTGAACTGGGAAGTTTTTCAGAAGTGCTTCAGCTTCCTGATACAAGTAATCATAGCATCTTGATTTGGGCCAAAATAGTCTGAAACAAGTATACAGTAGGTTTGCTTATTGTATTTGCATATTCTACTATGCGGCTGACAGACAAGAAACAGCAGAGAAATTCTGTTAAGACAAGCGTCCTACGGGGCTTTTTTCTCACCTGCTCAATTGCTAAACTGCTTTCTACATTTAAATAGAAAAAAAATAGTCTGAAATCTGTATTTTCATCTGAAGAGATAAAGATGCACTTAAGTGCTACTTCTGCAGCAAAACTACTCTAAAGCCCAAGATCCACTGCATCTGAAACTTACCACTCCAATACCTCATTAAGAGTATTACCTTGGGAATCTGATCCAAGCAGTATTGCTCTCACTGGAACTATTCCTAGGGTGTCAATCAGGATCCCCAGTGTATTTGGATTAAATGAGTAGTTTTGTGGCTAAAGGTCCCCTACCTTAGTCATTGTTTACAATGGTCTGAGACAAATCTTTAAGTGAAAGGAATAGTAAAGGCCTAAGAGGGATCAGACTTTGATACTTCAACCTGAACTCTGCCTCTTCAGGAAGAATCATCCAACAGACTCCTCACAGAAGACACCCCATGGGTTTAGATTTTAGAGCAGTCTGTATTGTATCCAGAAATGAACACTAAAATTGCTGATAATATCATGGTGCAGCAAGGCTTACCAGCTTGTGAGATAATGTACTGTAACTACTATACTCCACAGTTCCTGTTCCTTTTCAACTAGCATCCTCTTTTGCTTACAGTTTGGATGTGGCTGGAAGAAACAGACAATACAAGTCCCAAGAGCTAAGGGACCACCACACTGAGGCATAATTAAATGCTGGTTACAGACTGTTTATAATATAAATACATTAAGAAACAGAACTAGAGGGGTTTCTAGAAATTACAAAGATGCTTTCTAGACCACTGTGTAACAGAGCACTGCCTCCTTTGTGGCACAAAGCTACTGACACTTGCCTTACAGCACCTCCCCACTCCCAGTGTTCCCTGCAGCACTCACTCATACCTAAGCACAGGAGCAGGCAGGGTGAAGTCAGAGCCCGTGCAATCGCTTAGACAGTCAGTATCTGAAAAATCAGAGCCTAGATCTAAGAGAAGATGCATCTCATCTGGAAGATCTATCCGTGCAGTTACCTTAGGCACCTTGCAACACCTAGCAGCACTTCTGAACAGACTGTCCTGCAGATTCAGCTGTAGCTATTTTCATATTTCCCTTTCAGAACTGACAGTGCTGATACTACCATTACCTTTATCATTAAAGCAGTAAGATACTTGAGTACTGTTCTTGGCAATGCCACCCTAGCTAGTCCCTACCCCCTCCTCCTGCCACGCTCCTCCACACCTGCACCTGCTTCCTCGCACCACGGAAACGCTGGAGGTTTGCACAGCCCGGCAGCCTAGGAACCATCTACTACCAGCCTCTCCTTTCTTTAATCCTGAGCACGGGAATGAGGAGCAAGGTGCTTCAGCCAACCCTGCCACCACGAAAGAAAAACAAACAGAAAGCAAAACCCAAGCACATAACTAAGTTCCACCCCCCAAAAAAGCGTGTCAAGGTCTCATCTTAAAGATCTGGCAAACCCAGAAGTGCCAGGAACCGTTTGCCCTTCAGACGCGCTGTCAGATGGCTGAATCCCGCCGAAGACACTTAATAGCTACATAAAGGTGGGATCAGGAGGGGTGCGGGAGCCCGAGCTTGGCCAGCCCGGCCCCGCAGCGCCGAGCAAGGGCCTCTTGCTCCCCCCCCGCCCCAGCGGGGAGATGCCGGGTGCCCGCAGCGCTTACCTGGCGCTTACCTGGCGCTTACCTGACGGGGTGCGTGTACTGCGCCAGCTTTCGGGAGGCTTCGGCCAGCCCGCGGGGGTTGCGAGGCTGGGGAGGAGAGAGCAGAGCCCGGTCAGCCCGGCACCCCCCCCCGGCAGAGCCCACCCCGGGCAGCCCCCGCCCCGCCGGGACC